CATAGATAGCATAGAATAAGTGCTCTAAATAATATGGTTGACGAATTTTTTTTTTTTAGAATTCGTATTTTCGTGAAGCAAAATAATTTTCGCTGAAAAGAACTAGTTTCAGATTTTACCTCGACTCTCGTTAGCACGCTTTTCAAATTATGGTATGTTTCGTGTAAAAACTTTCTATATAGAAGTTATTTTTAAAATATCAAATATATCAATTTGTAAAGTTTGTAATAATTAAAACTTAATTAATCATGTGTTAATAACTTTCTCGTTTTACGTCAACTTAATCTTCATCCTCATATTAGTTTCAAACACCATCAATCATCTTAATATGATGCTGGGAGAGGCAAAGCGTAGGAATCTAATGTGCAAGACCGGACAAAGCATGCAGTAAGTGGGAATACAGTACTGTCCATCAGCATCCGCAGCCTTAAGGCCCATAGTTGGATATGAATTGCCAAAAAAAGAAATTGCTAGATTACCGTCGACAGATAACAGGGAAGAAAACTTTTAATTTTTAGGTCATCGGATATAGACATCAAGATTCATGCTATCAGCATAAGGCATGAATGCGTCGTTTGTACTGGTGGTTTTCTAACAATCACATACCACTTGCGTAATAGTTATATTGTAAATGTATAGTAATTACAATGCAATTATACTATATTTATATTATACTTATATATATAATTTTTTTCTAAAAAAATTCAATGTTATATAGGTACTCTCATAGAGTGTAAGATACTGTTGGGAGAAAACTTTAGATTTTTGACCGTGGATATATATGCATCAAAATTTGTGGTATCAGTAGAGAGGAAAAGAGATCGTGTGATTTTATGAGTCTTGATAAAAGATAGTATGTCACGTCTGGAATTTCTATCTAAAATTACAAACGCTTACACGTGTGTAACGTCCTCATCCAGGAACCAGCCGAGGCACACAATAACAAATTGATAATAGAGTGCTGTCAAACATCTAATTAATACTCGCAAAACATTAAATTATTACATAGGTAGATAGTTCCTCTCAAAAGAATAAAATTCTACGCAGCGGAAAAATAAAAGACTAAGAAGCTATGGCGACTCCACTCCACAAGCATCTTGACCATAACACAGCCTAATCCTCCTGAGCATCACCTTCACTAAAGTACTCCTCCTCTGGTGAATGAATATTGCAAGATGAGCATATGACATACTCAACAAGCCACACAGTAAATATGCAAGTGTACAGGATAACAAAGGATGGCATAATATAGTTCATTTGCATAAACAGCATTTAATAAACATTTGAGAGAATAGTAAAACAGTTGTATAACTTAAACAATATTAAATACACACTATACAACACACCCGTTGTTGCATAGGCCCAACCAAATCTGAACAACCAACCCCGGTAGTACAGATCAAACCTCCAAACCAGGAATTATCCATTCCAAACCAGGAGACAAATTAATTATCACACTATTATCATTAATGAGTAGTGTGAAACTAATCACGAAAAATATTGTTCAACCCGTCCATGACCGCGAGCACGGCTATTCGAATAGTTTAACTCTGATCAGAGATGTACCACTGTACTCACAAGACACAGCTCTACAACATGTCACCATGCGCCTCAATACCACCACGGTATCTCGGAAAGGAACTGTGACAATACCTCTCGCACAACATAACTCACCACAGCGCACCATTCCTGGATCATAATCACCCCTTCAACAACCTTAGGCATGGACTCCCCAGCGAACCCCACAGACTTCTCACCTCTTCACAGTCAGGCACTCCATAATGAGCTATAATGTATAAAAGGTAAAGCCGTTGCCAACGCTGGCTTGTGGTTGGCACGATAAATGTTTCACAACAGTAGCTCATGAACCGGTCCTTAATTGTCATGAGCACGACCATCAAAACCACATGCTCACAACCCACCATTAATCAGGTTTTTTAATTGGCAAATTAATAAATAACCAATCATGATTAACCATTGTGGGCTACCATTAAGAATATAACATTAAGTGATAGTGAAACATAATTACTCCCATTAATGAGCTATTGTTTCTAAGCATCTATTATAAGCATATAGCTGAACCAAACCAATATATAAGGTTCAAAGTAATCAAATTATAACCCATAGGAAAATAAAGTCATCTTCGGCCATAATTAATTGGGAAAGGCTCACCACTCGATGACATTCAAAAAATAATGCATTAGTTGAAATAAAACAATAGCTTTAAACGGGTTCAACATGCTCAAATGGTTGTTTGGGATCTATGTGATTTGCCTTGAACTTCTTCAAATACTTCTGAACCTTCCTCAACGAAGACGCTCTCCTCCGGAACGTCGGAAACTAAAGCAATTCAACAAAATCAACAAAACAACACAAAAACAAGCATAAACAGTACATGTGGACATTTTTAACATGTACATCTTGATTTTAGATGAATTTAGAAACTTGAAACACTCGAAGAATCTGAGTTACGATGATTTAGTTATGATTTTTCTAAGTTTAATCAGTTTTTCATCTAATACCGAAAACTATTACGATTTTGTTGACGACCAAATTTGGTAGCTCCATGAGTTGGATTCAAAGCTGGAAACGAAGCCGATTTTGGAAAAAATCCTGTTCGGGAAGGGAAAATAAAAGCCAACTACGAACAGCATCGGCTGCCGCTCAAATCGGCTACGTTGATATCGGCTGCAACATATCGGCTATGTTGATATCCGCTCAAAGAGTTTATCTTCCTCCTTGATTCTAAATCGTCTAGATCTGCCCCTTATATCAAGATCTCATCCTTTTGAAGTAGATCAAGCTCCCTAGTCTCTAGATTGGGTCAAGCTTCATATATTTCATTTGCGCTGGTATCTTGGTATAAGGCGGTATCGGAGTATTAGCCGATATAGGTTGGGTTTGCTCCATCGGCTATGCTATGAGCACGCATAATCTCTTCTTTGGAGCATGTTTAGATATGGAGCGATTTATACTGTTTCGGTGCCACCACCGATCTATCCCAGTCGTCTCGATCTAAGCATGCCCCATCTAATGGATTACGTATCGCTGATATCTACAGCCGATCGAGTACACCGAACAATCTCCAAGTTTTTGCTTGCCTATGCCGATCCGACTTAAGTTGCATCGGCGTGGCCCCCAACAAGACAGGCTTGGAGCATGTTTAGATGGTTTGATCCTGTAATCAACAAGACAGGAAACAGCAAAGAGTTAAATCCATCAACGATAGCCGATCGACATTTATTTTGGAGATGGAAAAAGGGCTTTATGACATCGGCATGACATCATCGCCGACACACACTGGACCATGAGGTCGCCAGCACTAGAAGGCTCGGCTCGGCTCGGCCTTCCGAGGCATCAACGCGAAGAGGACGACGAGACGAACTCACCGGTACACGAAACGACGATGGACAATGACCAGCAGCGAGCTCCGGCGGGCTTCGGCTCGGCTCAACGTCAGCGGCGGCGCTCCGGCAGGCTTCGACGGTGGCGAAAGGGTGGATGGTTTGCGGCTGCGCACGGCGAAACCGGCGGTGGCGACGGCAAGCAGCGGCGCAAGGCGGCTGAGCCGACAGCGGTGTCGGCAGCGCTAGGGCAACGCGACGGCGACGCTACAGGCAACGCGGAGCTTGGGACTTGAGGGAAAAGGTAGAGGGCGGCTAGGGGATGCTTTATATAGGCACGAGGAAAGGAGATCGATCCCCAAACGAGAAGAATCGAAGTCGGAAAATCCTAGTGTTAGGTGGAGAGATAAACTCGAAAACAAGTTTGATTCAGTTGAAATACGAAATAATCAGCTCCGATTTTTGGGGGGCAAAGATAGAGGACGTTGAGGGGATAAAAACCCCTCAATCAATCAGACTCGGGGATGACCGGAGGCGGCAAAAACAGCGGGGAGGCACAGCAGCTTGGACTCGGCCGGCGGTTGGAGGTTGAACAAGGGCCTGACATGTCGGCGAGAGGGAGGAGAGAGGAGGCGGGCAGCTCAGCTGGGCCAGCTTGGGCTACTCGGCCGCGCGCAAGGGGAGGAAGGGTTGGGCCAGAAACGGACCAACGGCTTAGGGGAGGATTTTAAAAAACTTTTCCAATTAAAATAATTCATTAAATGATGTTCATTTATGAAAAATACTTCACTTTCTCAAATAATTCCTAGAAAAATCCAGAAATTAGATAAACAATTAAAGTATTTAATGAAATTTTATCTAGCTCAGTTTTATGTCGCAATTTTTCCTAGCTTTTATTAGGGTTTACCTTGTAGGCTTTTAAATTATTCTAAGAAACGTATTAAAGAATGAATTATTACATTAAGCGATTTTTTAGAGTGTGACATAGTAGCTATGTGCTACAATACATGAGAGGAGGAAAGGGAGAGAACAATAAGAGCTCTTGCATGCGCATGCAACGATGGGGGTATTGAGTGTAACATGAAAGGGGTAAGCAGGTGCCCGAATTGAATAAATCGGTGTTCGATTTTCTGGGAGGTCTACTTATTCCTACAAAGTACGTCCTTATTTTTGCATGCCATCCAAAAATATCATTAAATTTGTAAAACAAATTTAACAAGATATATCGATACATATCACTTCACAAAGATGAAAAAAAACTGAAATTCAATTTATATAAGTAAAAGAAAAAATAATAATTTTTATTTTGAATAGAACGCGTAATTCACATATTGATATATCTTACTAAATATTTTATACTTTTTAGATGACATGAGAGCATATCTTACTATGGACAAAAATCCATCTCCCTATCCCATAAAAGCTACTCCCTCCGTCCCTAATATAAGGGATTTTAACATTTTGCTTATACTGTTTGATTATTCGTCTTATTCAAAAAAAATTTGGAATTATTATTTTTTTGACTTTCTTTATTATCCAAAATACTTTAAGCACAACTTTTCGTTTTTTATATTTGCACAAAATTTTTAAATAAAACGAGTGGTCAAACAGTACCAGCAAAATATCAAAATTTCTTAGATTAAGGGACGAAGGGAGTAGTAGCGATTAAGGTACAATACGATATGAATTCTTATTCAATTAACTAGAGAATTAACCGATACAACTGGAAAATTAATATTAGGATGAAGAGGACGCAACTAACGTAGCCAAGAGCCTAAGACCGCGAGTATGAGCTACACACATTTGCAATCAGATGCAATAATGCATGCTCGTAAGCATGGCATGGCCGCGTACGTAGCTAGCGCTTATTATCCGAGATGAAGACGAGCAAGCTAAGCTAGCTAGGTGGAGGTGGAGGTGGAGGTGGAGGTGGCGGCGGCGACGCTGGCGAAGATCTTGTCGATGGCCTGCAGCGCCTGGATGGCCGACCTGACGTAGAACGCGATCTGCCCGGCGACGGGCGCCAGCGGGTTGGCGGCGACCTCCTGCCTCACGTCCTCCTCCGCCGACGGCAGCGCCGCGCCGCCGGGGTCCTCGTCGAACCGCCACGCCTGCTCCAGGTACGCGTCCATCCGCGGCGTCGCGAAGAGCCGCACGCCCTCCGCGTCGCCGCGGGCGGCGAACCGCTGCCGGTCGTGGGACGCTAGCGACGACACGGCGTACGCCCGCCCCGCCCGCTCGTACGCCTCCTGCGTCTCCATCAGCCGCAGAAGCTGCAGGAGCTCCTCCCGGAGCATGTCCACCATCGGGTTCGCCTGGTCCAGTACGTCCTCCAGCGCGTTCTGCGCCTCCACCAGCCTCGTCCTCGCGCGCTCCAGCTCCTTCCCGTCCGCCATGCTCCGCGCCTCCCGGATCGACTCCGCGTGCCGCCGCCGCGCCATCTCCGTCTCCACCTCCGGCTTCCTCGCCGGCGCCTCCTCGCTCGGCTCCGGCGCGCTCCCGCTGCGGCGGATGCTCACCGGGTCAGGGTTGGACGCCACCGTCGCGCCCTGGAGGCTGTACCTGAACTGGGCCTCCACCACCTCCGCGTCGTACGGCGGGAAGGCGGTGCTGTCCTCCAGCGCGAGGTAGACGAGCACCCTGCGCACCTCCGCGCTGTACAGCGTCCCGAACTGGACGGTCACGGACGACCCGTCGGCGGCGGCCGCCTGCGGGTACGTGCCGGCGTCCACCTTCTTGATGGCGGCCTCGCCATCGACCCGCGTCACCGTCAGCTCCAGGTCCTGCGCGATGATGGTGAGGAGGCCGCCGAGGAGCTGCGAGAAGGGCGCGGTGAGGTTGACGCCGTCGGCGACGTAGTGGAACATCCCCTCCCGGCTCTTCCCGGCGATCGCCTGGAGCACGGCGGGGTCGTGGTCGGCGCCGAGGCCGAAGGTGTGGACGGGCACGCCGCCGGGGTCCAGCCGCGTCGCGTCGCCCCGGTTCTGCTGCCCGTCGGACATGAGCATGACGTTCACCGCGCGGCCGGCGGTGAGGCGGCGGCCGGCGGCGACGGCGAGGCCGATCTCGAGGCCCGCCCTGATGTTGGTGTTGCCGTCGGCGGCGAGGCCGTCGACGAGGGCCCCAAGGTCGGCCCGCGCGGCGTCGCCGGCGACGAAGCGGAGCGGGCAGAGGCGGGCGGCGTCGTTGGAGAAGGTGACGATGGAGAGGCGGTCCACGTCGGCGAGCTTGCGGATGACGAAGAGCAGGGCGGCCTTCATCCTGTCGAGCTTGTTGCCGGCCATGCTGGTGCTGACGTCGAGGACGGCGATGAGGTCCAGGGCGGCGCGGGAGGTGGCGGAGGAGGTGCCCTTGAGCTCGAGGAGCACCTCCTGGTCGTTGGGGTCGAGGGGCGCCTCGGCGTTGTGGTACTTGGTCAGCTCCACTTGCCCCACCGGCACGCCGGTAATTCCCGGCGGCCTGGTCGTCGTCCCGCCATTGTTGTTCGCCACCGGAGCGCTTTGCTCGTCGTCGTTGAACGCCATAGCTCTAGCTCGCTTGCTTTGTCATCATAGCAGCTACCCCCTGCTCCTATATATACACAACAAATTTGCTCCGATCTAGCCAAAAAAAAATATCTTAAGGAACGGGTACCTTGTAGTACTAAATAATTTTCAATCGTTGGATCTAGCTGGACAGGATATATATTGTTAGATGCAATGATTAGAAACGATTTGGTACCGTAAGGTACTAGTACCTGAGATACTTAATGTTGGACCAGAGCAAATCTCATATACACAAATAAAGGTTTTCCAAAATAGTTCAGAATGCAATTTCCTAAACTTTAGGAATTTGGGGGAAAAAATTGGTGCAGCCCGGCTATAGACGGCCTCCCATACAGCATCCTTCTGCAAGGGTGCACTAGGTTGGATACTTTGTGTAGAATGATGCTTGTAACGTTTGGGCGCGCGTCCCTTCTCCCAGCGAGAAGTTGCAAACTTGGAATTGGGAGAGCTCAGTAGTTTCACTTTGGGTTACATTTTTGGGTGAATTTCACTTTTGACCGTGCTTTAACCAATAATTTTACTTCAAAGCTCGAACAAGGTATTTTTAACCTCCATATAGTATTTTGGATTACCCTCAATTCTTTTATCGATCTACGTTCAACTTTCATGTGTTAGAGAAATACGCTACATACAAAAGCGGGAGTTCAGTGATGAGTAGGACCTGACATAGTCAAGATCGTTCATATGCTTAAGACAAGAGTCGGAATGGTACATTCAAAGTTCAACAAAGCTAAGATTCGATCGGTACAAAGTGAAACCATTGGTTAAATGATGGTTTAAAATGAAACAACAGTAATAAAAATGTGACCTAAAGTAAAAAATTATTTATTTTTTCCATAAATTTGATCCCTAATAGGGTACTCTTTCAGAAAAAAAAAACATTTTTCTCAGAAAATTTGACTAAAATGTAATCAAATCAATACAAATTTAAACGTTTTTAAATTGGAAATTCTGCCTTCTCTCCTTACCACTAAAATAAATTTGATTTCAAGATATAGAACTGTCTAGTCAATCGGAATTAATGATAAACTTTACCTTCAAAACTTGGAGAGAAACAACACAACATGAACTTTACCTTCGAAGCTTGAGAGAAACAACACAACACCTGTTCCATCCCGTCGAGTAATAGTTTCCCGACAGAATTTTTACACTAACGATTTTTCCTAGCCCCTACTTCTTCCACAGACATTCTTGATAGATAGTAAATTTTTTATAGGGTTGACTGAACAAAGATGACTACTGAAATAAGTATTTATAGGTGGTCACAGGGTGACGCCGATCGATGAAGAGATTATAACGCACCTAGTCACATAATTATATACTATTAATTCATGATAGGATAGCTATGGTGTTTAGTCAAATACTATGGGGGTGTTTGGGAACTAGGGACTAAATTTAGTCCCTCTCATAAAAGCATAAGAGGGACTAAAGTTTAGCCCCACTTTAGTCCCTCCAACCAAACACCACCTATAATTTAGTGTATAGACCTTATTAGCACAACACTCCAACTCTAACATTTTTTTGAGCTTGGTGTCTATAACCGTAAAACTTCTCAGTGTGCACATTTTATCATTTTTCGCATACTATATTTGAAAATTCTACGTAAATTGAGGAGTTACATGATATAATAATTTAATAGATAGGCCAATATGGTTGGTGACTTGGTGCATCCTGTCAGATAAAGTTTTTCCTAATAGATTTTTATATCAATAATTAAACTACTACCTCTGTTTCAAAATATAATAAATTTTAAATACATATATATACAAGGCCAATATGTAGTATTATTTGTAAGATCTGATTTGGCAGGATGGTTAACTCACCTTAATAACCACAAATAACGTACATCTTGGGATATCTATGCAATTGCCAACGGTCAGCCCCTTCCAAATAGGAGTAGGAGAGAGTACTCTATATATTGCCGGCGGCAGACCGATTGTCAGGGAATTTCATAAAAATCCAACAGCAGTCTGGCAACTCTAGTTATGATCGACACTGTAGTGCGTCACGTAGCACGGCCCTACGAATTAACGTGAATTAATCAACATTGAATTGTTACAGCAATTGCCAGCTATATCCACACATGCAGTCACATGGGCTGACCTATATATACCAATTAATATATAACCTCTGTTATTGATTGAACTGCATTGGTACCGCGCAAATGACTTTATTCCAAATATTTCATACGTTTTTTTTATATAGTGCTTGAAAATACTTTTTATATATTGGATTTGTGTTATTCTGTGTTTCCATATTTATGTTATTTAGAAACTAATTCGTCATGAACTCCAATTTGTAGTTAATCTGAATTTCTATATTTTGTGATGTAGAATTGAATTATTATTAAATCATTCTCAAACTTAAAATATGACTCACATTAGGGGAAAAAGAGATAAAACAAACATATGTGAGAAAATTGTCCGGAATGCCGGCCTTTTATACTCCCTCCGTTTTTTAATAGGTGACGCCGTTGATTTTTTCTCACATGTTTAACCATTCGTCTTATTCAAAAAATTTACGTAATTATAATTTATTTTGTTATAAGTTGTTTTATCACTCATAGTACTTTAAGTGTGATTTATATCATATACATTTGCATAAAATTTTTGAATAAGACGAATGGTCAAACATGTGAGAAAAAATTAACGGCGTCATCTATTTAAAAAACGGAGGTAGTACTATTTAGCAAATAAACACCAATCCAAACACTTCACTACTACTGGTTTATTTATAATTGTTATGAATAACATTCATTGTTGTTTAATTAAAAAACTATCATCGATAAATATCGTCCAATAAGAAACTTGTTGAAGGCGGCTGGTCAAAAGATTATTGACTTCTACCTAATTCAGGTCCCGAGGTGTCCTACTGCGTGCTGTGCTAGGACGCAGACACGAAGTAGCACACGTGACCCTCGCGCTGGCTGTGCCCTCCGGCCGCTACTCCCAGCGCTTATCTATAACAGCAAGTTTTATATACTCCCTCCATTTCAAACTATTTGACACCGTTGACTTTTTAGCACATATTTGACCGTTCGTCTTATTAAAAATTTTTATGAAATATGTAAAATTATATGCCTACATAAAAATATAATTAGCAATGAATCAAATGATAGGAAAAGAATTAATAATTACTTAAATAAATTTTTTTAATAAGACGAACGGTCAAACATGTGTTAAAAAGTCAATGGCGTCAAATATTTCGAAACGGAGGGAGTAGTATATATATCATCCACTCATTAATTAAGAGGTAATATGTACAATATATTAGTTGTTACTAATACACAAATATCAACAATCTTCTTTTATTAGTTCACTCTCACACTATCCCACTCTCTTTGCACATTTTTAGGGTCCCTTTTATTTGGAGAAAAAACATGGAGGAATTTTGGAGGATTTTAATCCTATAGGGAAATTTCCAATAAAGGTTTTTGAAAGAAAGGATTGAATCTTGTGTTATCCTTTGAAATTCCTATCAAATGGACAATCCTATAGAGATTTGGAGGAAATTAGCGAGAGCTTCAACCTTTTGGAAACTTCCTTTTGAGTCTATCTCTCTCATCTCTATCTCTCACATCCGATTCATACGTTTTTCCTGCGGTCCAATCAAACGATCATTCCTGTGTTTTTCTTATATTTTGCAATCTTTTGTTTTGCACTTACATTTTTATTAGAATCCTGCGTTTTTTCTATTCCTTCATTTTTGCATTCCTGCGATTCAAAGGGACCATTAGAGTTTGTATAGAGGCTGCCCGACCTATACATACATAAGGGGTGACTCATCCTCTCTCTCCACACACTTTTCTCCTCCACCTCATCACTCAATGCTACGTGGCACTTTTAGTACTTGTTCTAATACTACCACTATTCTAACATTTAGTGTTCTTACAATAAAATAATAAATATATAAATAATTGAATCAAAGGAATAAAATATGATTTGTAAGTTCTAAAGCATTGGCGAGACGTGCACAATTGTGAGGGCCCGCGTGGGCTGTGTGGCCGGTGTGCGTGCCAAGGCACAGCTGCATGAAATAGGGATTTCGTGCGAGAAAGCTAATTAGCGCATACGCGCTACCTTCGTACCCGGCACCTAGTTAGGCCCACGAAGCCCACACGAGGGTGTACGGCAAAGAAAACAGGTTCGTAAAGAGAGTGATACGGAAGCGGAGAAGAATACGATGTTCTTTTTTCTCCCCTGAAAGTATATGCATGTCTCATCTGTGTCAACTCATTTGTTTTAGGGTGTATCAACTCAAATTTGAAAAAATGATTTGAATAAAATTTTCAACTAAATTTTTAAAACTTTCACTTTAACTTTCAAAACTTTCAACTCAAATTTTAAAAATTTTTATCTCAAAATTCAAAAATTTTCAACTCAGAATCCAAAACTACCATCTTAAAATTTTAAACTTTCAAGTCAAATTATGAAAACCTTCAATTCATGTTTGAAATTTTGATGTCTGAATTTTTCAACTTTTAACTCGATTGTTTATTAATTATTTTATTATAAAAATGCTTACGCTAAATCATTATTAGCGGCTTAACGCTAAGCGCTTTGGAGAGGCAGGCTACGTGTGGGGTGATGCGCGCCAACTTCGCTCCTAGCGCAGCCGCACACGATAGGATCCCCCCCACCCCTCCCCCCATCACCTCCTGTCCCCCTTTCCTCATCTCCTCCACTCCCATAAAATACTCCAGAAAAGGTGTGAGCATAGCAGCAGATGTAGCAAGCAGAACCACATACGATATCTGAATTGGGGTCAGGTGCAGTTATACTTGCAACTGCAAGATATAGATTCGTATTACCGAAATATATTATATCTCATAATAGATTTGTTTATTTTGGGATAAATAAAATATGTGCTATTTGGCGGCCCTCAAACACGATCCATACAATCTTATCACCTGCTCTTAGTGACTTCAATTAGACAAAGCAGAACAAACTTGCACTATAATTTACTCATTCGGAAAATTGCAAAAATCCATCATTTGCAGAGCTTGTCAAAAGAGAATCCATCATTTGAATAACATAATTTAGATATTTCAATCCCATGGATCCATGGATTCAAAACAAACTTGCAGTTGATCAAAAGAGTCCGTGTCTTTGCTCGTTTGATCTATGGCTAAGAAGCCGTGGAATAATGAACTAAAACAAAATTATAAGCGAAACTTTTATATTTTTATGTTTTTAACGGTTTAAAAGCTAATCTGAAAATAAACTATCATGAAAAAAACCTTAGAAATCCAAAGTGTAAATTTTGGCTGTGGCTGATAAGACCATTGTTTGAAATTTCGGAACGAATTACGGAAATTTCGCCCACCACCGAAATGCTCATATTTCGTCCAAAAGTTTCGGTTTTTTGCAACTTTTTGTTAATTTGGTCAAATTTTATTCAAATCCATTCAAAATCAGTCAAAATTTCAAAAAATTTCGTACGAAAAAAATCCTAAATTTCCGGAAATTTCGGAAATTTTGGTTCTTTCGCTCCCCTCCGAAATTTTGGGGCATTCCGAAATTTGAAACCCTGGATAAGACAATAACCGGACGATAAGAGGCAAACACATGTATTCCCAGACATGGACTTCTCAAGAAAAATGTCTTTGGAAATAATCTCAGTTGCAACTGAGAATTAAGCAGATAATATCTGCGGCCCTCCCAAACAGGGCCTTATTACTATTTCATGTATCCAACAGCACTCCTAGCAGAGAGCTCACTCGGATCGGTTGGAATGGAAAGAAACTAAAAAGTACAGGGAATTTCAAATTTCTCATTAATTATGGCTGGATAATTAGGCATTGCTTAATTAGCTAGCTAGCAGCATCTCTTGGGGAGGAGGAGGTGGCCGGTCATGTGCCAGCTGTCGCCGCCGTCGGGGTGGGCGTAGGGGCAGGCCGGACGGTAAGCCGCCGCCTCCTTGGTGGTCACCAGCGTGCTCCACTGCGCGTTGGGGTCGTCGGTGGCGAACGTGGTCCACGCCGGCGTGGAGTTCTCGTAGCGGCTGTGCGTCACGCGGTGGAACGCCCTGACGTCCCTGTTCTTGCTGATGTCGTCGGGGTCGATGTCCACGGTGAAGATGTCGCCGTAGGGGCGGACGGAGTGCAGGAACAGCGGCAGCGAGATCGGGTCGGCGGACACCGCGGCGAGGTCGGCGGTGACGGCGATGCTGCGGCCGTCGGGGCTGAACACCGGGTGGTTGACGTGGCCGGCGACGCTGTCGGCGCTCCTCACCACCCTGACCACCACCGTGGGGTCGGAGGCGCGGACGAGGAACACGGCGAAGTAGCCCGGGTCGAGGCCGTTGTCGTCGGCTGGCGCGGCGGCGGGCTTGTCTCGGGTGGAGGAGAAGACGATCCAGTCGCTCCCCTCACGCGGCGACCAGCTGCAGTGGGTGTCCGTCCACGCGCCGCTGGTGAGGCGCGTCACCTTGCTGGTGCCGAACTCGCCGACGGCGGCGTCCTCCATGACGTACAGGTTCTTGTGCCGCCTGCCGCCGCCGCCGCCGTCGCGGGTGGAGCGGAACACGAGCCTGCCACCGTCGGGGCTGCTCGAGGGGAAGGCGTTGTTGGAGGCGCCGGCGGTGAGGCGGCGCTGCTGGCGGCCGCCGAGCGCGGACACGTCGTGGATGGCGTAGATCTGGAGCGGCTTGTCGGCGCTGAAGGAGGGGCCGACGCAGACGTAGAGCGTGTCGAGCGCCGTGTTCTGGTTCCACGCCGTGGAGAACACGCTGTTGGGCCCCTTCTTCTCGTACACCACGCGCAGGCCATGGCTGTCGGCGAGCCACACCGCCTTGAACTCGTTGTCCACGAACGCGAGCTTGGAGCCGTCCTTGGAGATGGTCGGGCACACGCCGGACACCCTGAACAACCCCACGTCCTTGTGCGGCGACTGCAGCTTGTGGAAGTTGTTGGCTACACTGCTGCCGCCTCCACCGTTATTCTGGTGAAGCTGCTCGCTCTTGCACCGGTGGTACCCGATGCGGCTGCCGCCGTCGAGGACGAAGGGGTTGAAGTGGTCGGTCTTGGGCCTAGTCTTCTGCGTGATCTTCACCGGCTGCTCCGGCGAGGCCACGTCGAAGATCTCGATGTGCCGGTACTGCTCCTCCACGCGGACGTCGCTGAACTGGGACTTCCTGCGGATGGTGGCCACCGCGACCTTCGTCTCGCTGATGGCCGCCGGCGTCACGGCGTCGAACTCCTCGGGCGTCACGCGCGCCTCCTCCCCGGTGCTCATGGAGAAGCGGAACACGCCCCAGGTGGTGCCGACCCGGCGGTGGAAGAAGATGACGTCGTCGCTGCCCCACGTCGGCCACCCGGCGTTCTTGACCACCGGGCCCGTCCGCCCCAGCGGCGGCTTGTGCACGTTCATCACGTAGATGTCCGTCCTCAGGTCCTCGATCTCGCCGTCCCACAGGCCGGGCTTGCCCTGCCACGACGCCACCGCCACCCTCTTCCCCGACGGCGACACGGCGGGGCTCAGGTCGAAGGTCCCCCTCGGGGTGAGGCGGGCCGTCTCGCCGGTCCTCAGGTTGGTGCCGTACACCACCGTCCATGGGCTCCGGCGAGCCGCCACCGGCTCCCTGGTGGACACGTACACCAGCGTGTGGTCCACGGCGCGGCCGCGCTCCCTGTAGCCGCCGCCGAAGCAGCCGCTGTCCTCCATGCGGACGCCGCTGAAGTCGCCGCCGGCGCCGAAGATGTCGGCCAGGCCGAACACCTTCACCTGCTTGCCGCCATCGAAGCGCAGGGCTACGTGCAGCGTCTCCAGCCCGCTGTCCCTCTCGGAGACGAACACCAGGCCGGTGATGCGGCCGGCGTCGACGTCGGCGGTGGTGGCCTCGGAGGCCAGCTTGGGGCGCTGGAGGAGCGCCCTGAGCGCGGCGGCCGGGATGGGGCGGCAGCTGTGGTTGTAGGAGACGCCATCGGTGAGGTGGAGCTCGTCTCGCGGGGAGGACGGCGGCGGCGCAACCGGGCAGGAGAAGACGTCGAGCGGCACCGGCGGGCGGTAGGTGGCGAAGAAGGCGATGCTGCCGCGGCTCTCTCCCGCCATTGATCGTCGCTCTCTCTAGCTTTGTTTTGCGATGAATCGATATCGACTCGATCTGCTGGCTACTGAAGGTTCAACTAAGTCTCATATCCATTTATAAGTTATAACTCATAAAATCACACGATCTCTTTTCATCTCTGCTGATACCACAATTTTTGATGCGCGCGCGCACATACATACATACATACATACATACATACATACATACATATCCGACGGTCAAAAATCAAAAGTTTTCTCCCAACAGTATCTTACACTCTTTGAGAGTACAGTACCTATATAACATTGAGTTTTTTTAAAAGTAAATTGCATTGGTGGTACATAAACTTGTTAGGTGGATACAATTTAGCACATGAACTTGTAAAATGCTCGTTTTAATACACGAACTTATCTAATCCGTGCGAACTAGGTCCAAATGGCTTGGCAAGTTTAATTTTACCTAGCTGATGTTGATTAGAATGTGATGTACATACGTATAGTGAGTATGCATAAAACATGCCATATTTATAAATTTGTTCTATACTTTATCTTGAATTTCGTATGTTTTCTAACCCATGTTCCATTGCTCGGTATTTTATATTTTTCTCTACAATCACTATATCTCTTTCTATTTTTTTATTGAAAAGTGTATAACCAAGTAGTAACCTTCTCATATATATATATATATATATATATATATATATATATATATATATATATATATATATATATATATGTGTGTGTGTGTGTGTGTGTTTAAGTAGCAACCTTCTCATATATATATATATTTACGTACTCCCTCCGTTCCAAAATATAACAACTTTTAGCCCTCAACATTTGTCCCAAAATATAACTTCTTCACCAACATTCTCTTTCCAACCAATCACAACCCTCCACCATTCACTTTTCCCACCTACCTCTACTACTCAACCAATCACAACCCTCCATCATTCACTTTTACCTACTTCCTTAGTAACCGTGTACAACTCTAAAAATGATTATATTCTAGGACAGAGGTAGTAGTATTCTAATCAGCACCTAAATCAACAAAATTAGTCATGTAATGTCCTTTTGACTTTAGATCGCACAGGCAAGATAAGTTCATGTATCAAAACGAGCATTGCATAAGCTCATATACTAGATTGCACCCACCTGACAAGTTCGTGTACCGCTGATGTAATTTACTCTTTTTTTTAAAAAAAAAGAAGAACTTTTAGATGTAAGTATAATATAATAATAGTATAATTGCATTGTAATTACTGTGCATTTACAATATAACTATTATGTAAAAAGTGGCAGGTGATTGTTAGAAAACCTCACCAGTAAAAACGGCGCATACATGCCTTATGCAAAGGGTCACGGGTTCAATCCTCTCCGAGCGCATGTGTTAAAATCACATGGTTTTTTTTTCCTATCTACTGATAACAGGAATCTTGATGTATACATCTGATGATCAAAAAATTAAAAGTTTTCTTCCCTATTATCCGTCGACGACGGTAATCCAGCAATTTCTTTTTTTGGCAATTCATATCCAACTATGGCCTTAAGGCTGCGGATGCTAGATGGGCGCGTGATTAATTGAGTTTTAATTATTAAAAACTTAAAAAATAGATATATTTGGTATTTAAAGCAATATTCATACGGAAAATTTTCGTACAAGTTGCCGTTTTGTAGTTTGAAAAGCATGCTAACGAAAACCGAGATAAAAACTTTATCTTTATGAGAAAAAAACGGGGCCTTAATGTAATGCTGGGAGAGGCAAAGCCTTAGGAATCGAATGTGTAAGACCGGACAAAGCATGCAATACAGTGCTAATAACTTTCTCGTTTTGCGTGCCCGCTTTTAATCTTCATCTTAAGAAGATTTGAACGGGACCTGAGATAATTGATGGTGTTTGAAACTGATAAAGATGAAGATTAAGTTGACGTAAAACGAGAAAGTTATTAGCATATGATTAATTATGTTTTATTTATTACAAAATTGACAAATGGATATATTTGATATTTTAAGGGAAAAGTACGAATTACACCCCTAAACTATTGCGATCGATCGAATTACCCCCTGAACTCAAAAGCCAGACATTTTACACCCTAAAGTATATAAAACAAATAAACCCCCTAACTTAATCCGGAGTTGATGACGCTCTCTCTCGTGGCCCGATCTTCTGGTGAGGGGATAACTCTCGCTTTGATCGAGTGACGTGGCTACCAACCAGAACAAGTCCAGGACGCCGTGCAATCGCTACACCACAAACGATGTCGTACCAACCGTGACGCGCGGTTGATGATCCCTGCAATGCAAACGAGAGAACACTGCAAGAACAAGATAAGATGCAATCTAAATATTGCGAATAGGTGATTAAGCACAAAGGAATAGTTGCGATTGAAGTGGTAGATCTAATCAACCCGGCAAATCAACACACCAACTATTGGGGGCTCTGAATCTATAGTCGCCGACTAATCGAACGAGGACTAGAGACAAGGTGAATGGCACTTGGCAAAATTCAACTAAATAAAACCCAATGTTTTTGAGGATGTACAAAGCTATTTATAGAAGAAAATAAAGCTAGGGTTAAGTGCTAATTCGTAGAGGTGGAGGGAGACACTTCCGAGATGGGCCTAGTTTATTACAAGGCCCAAGGCCCGAGTTCGGTTTCACCAACAACGCTGTCTTGTTTTGGCGATTCCCGTTGACTCGAGATGAATTTGGACATGAGACTAGATGCGTTTGAAAGGTAGAGAGATAAGCTTTCCATAAGTCCAAGATCACCCAAATTGGAGTTGGCATGAAGGCGCTAGGTCCGTTTGAAGTCAGTGCTGTCTCCGGAGGCCGAACTGGATTCCAAAACTCATTGGACTTTAATATCTTCTAGATCCTCCATTCATCCGATGTATTCTTTGGCAATGTTTTATATTTCTCATGCTTGGTTGTATGCATATACTTGATGGTCACATCAGGAGTGGTTTTGGTCCTACGTGGCAGTCCAATCAGTAATTTTTTTATTAAAAAATCAGTGGGGCCTGCATGTCATACTCTCCCTCTCTCACCCCTCTCTCTCCCTACTCTATCATCCTCATTCTCTACTCTATCCCTCTCTTCCTCAATCCCCATCCTCTCTCTCACAAAAAAGAGCAAGGAGGAGGCGATGGATCCTTGCCGGCGGTCTCCAAGGGCGGCGTTGGACAGCGGCGGGGCAGAGGAGCTCCCTATCCCCTCTCTCTATCTCGCGGCTGGGAGCAACGGGCGGGGTGGTCGAAGGCAGCTGGGGGAAGTGAGCAGCGGTGGCGAAGGCGGCAGCCACGACGATGACCACCTCCCATGCACTCGCGCGGATGGCCTCGAGCAACCTCCCGTAGAACACATCCGCCGACGATGACGATTCGATTGCGACGGGCGCAGGGAGATTTGGAGGATGTGCTTGCGGTGGGGTCGGTATGCGTCAACGACGGCTGCGAGCGAGAGAGCTTGCGGAGCGGGAGGTGTCGTGGAGGAAGATGAGGGGCGCCAAACATTACGGACGCTGAGGCATTATATATCAGCACCAATCTTGATGGTGCTGAGCCGATGACTCATTTTTGCAATTAGTTTTTAGCATGGATCAATCTTAAAATAAGTTTTCTTAAAGGGTCGATTTGTCAAAATTTCTCAGCTCGACGATGACGAAGACTATTATGGGGTGGCAACAGGGCAGGGCGGGGTCGGGGTGGGTCGGAATGCCCCCGCCCCCGCCCTCATGCGGTATCCCCGGCCCCAACCCAGCAAAGAAAGTCAGGTGAAAAACATTACCCGTCCCCACCCCCATAGGGGACCCAACAGGTGACCGGGGCCCCGCATCACCCGAATGGAGCTAATACTACATAAAAATATTGCAATACACTGAATAATATTATGATAAAATTTCAATAGCCTTCGGTTGTGTGGGTTGGTTGAAGAAAGGAAGGGATTATGGTTGAGGGGAACTAGGGTGTTGAGCTTTTATATATGTCAATTTTGAATGGGTTTGTTGGGTCTATATTATTGCAATGAGATACTTTTAGAAAAAGTAACTCACATCCGGGACCCCTTCGGGTCACCCGCAGGTTAATTCTGATCCCTACCAGGGGCGGATCCCATGTGATTCATGGGTATTCACCTGAATACCCATAGAATTTTACCAAAAAAAAAATTATATGTAGGTATGTTATGCATATATACATAAAAAGTTAGAGGAAAGTGCATCATGTATAGCCTAAATGATAAAAAGCCCACTTATTAGCAGCAGCCTATAAATTCCTCCCCACCTTGGCCCAGCGAATAAGCCCACTGCCACTGGCCCAAAAAGAGACTAAACCCTAGTCCCAAGTCCCCACTCCTCCCAATCCCAATTCACGCCTCCACTCCCCGCCGACGGGCGACGGCGCATTGAGGGCTCGGCGCTCGGAAGTTCGGCGACGGCGCGTCGCCACCGGCCTCATCTCCCTGGCTGCTGGCTCCCTGTCCTGGTGTCCCCAGTCTAGTTCCCACTCCTCCCAATCCACGCCTACACTCCCCAACGACGGGCGACGTCGCGACGGCCGATGGCGCATCGAGGGCTCAGCGCTCGGCAGCTTAGCGCGTCACCACCGGCCTCATCACCCTGACTCCATGTCCCTGATTCGACACAGCGTCGCCATCACCGAAGCCGAGCCGCCGAGGCCATCCGCTGCCGCCGCCGCGCTGCCGAGTCTGTCCGCTGCCGCCGCCGCGCCGCCGAGCGGCCGAGGCATCGTCCGGTCCTCACTTCACACCTGAGGCCTCGACAGCGACTGCTGAAGCTGAGCAGCTGAGGGATCAAGATATTGGTAATGCAATTGAACTAATTTATGATACAAAGATGCAATTGCAGCTATTGCGTGAGGATGATGAAGATGAATGGGAATCTTTTCTGAAAGATATGTCACTTCAAGCCAGTTGACATGGCATCAAAGTTGTTGATATGGATGGCTTCTACAAGCCAGTTGGAAGATCTAAAAGATTATTCAAAAAGGTCAAGAATTTCCCTCGCTTCCATGTTGACATGTTTTATGTTTATAAGCATCATTGATAGACAACTTCGAGAGTTTAATGATAGATTTGATGAGGTAAATTAACACAAAGTTGCTTCTTTGCATGGCATCCTTCAATCCTATTGATTCATTTGCTGCTTATGACAAGGAAAACTTGGTTAAGCTTGCACAATTTTATCCAAAGGATTTCACAAAATTAGATCCAAAGGATTTGCACAATTTATTTCATTTGTCATGTAATTAATTCAAACCATTTATAATTTAGACATCTTTACTTTTGTGCTACTGTTTGTACCTTTAAACATGTCATTGCCACTATGTTGTTATGCTATTATTTATACTTTAAAATTTGCCAGTCCAATTTTTTGAGTTCTGTAAGATTTTTTTTCAACTTTGAATATCTTTTGCTGAAATCCTAGCTCCGCCACTAATCCCCGCCCCTGCCTCCATAGGGGCGGATCCCAGGCGCCAACGGGAAAATTGCCACCCCTATACGTACTCATGCATGCGTGCACATATGCCATAGTTCTCCGGTGGTCTCTCCCATGCATGTGGGCTACCATTACTAGCTACCAACCATCAAGTCTTGATGAGATTAATTGGGAAGACCGACGTCCTCATCCGATCCGGTACAAATGGCAGATGGATAAGGTCATAATAATAGAATCAGTTAATGAGCGAGCTCGCTAGCTTGCTAAAACTATTCATCGCGGGGCCACAGATCCATGCATGCGTACGTTCCTTAATTTGCTAACAGGTGTGGTGGTAACGAGGATAGACGTGCGGTATCGAGGATATCGCATGTCCAAATTAAGAGGAAACGGGACATTGGGAAGCCGAGATCGATGACGCCGCATGGCACATAGGAGGCGAATGAGCTAGCCGGAGTGCACTAACAAGCAGCTGCGCGCAAAGCCGTGAGGAGCTTGAAGATGGAAGACCAGGAACACACGGAGGTGTCCTCATCGGCGCCGTCGCAAAGGCCGATGAAGCTGTGGCCTATTCAAAACGGGTGCGATGCATCTCAGTTTGTAAGATGGGAGATTGGAGAAGACATGAACATTATGGTCACATTTAACGGAAAGAAGAGTAGGGTGACGGGAATGTGGGACGTAACTTTGGATGTTATTAAACCTTTATGTGCTATATAAAATTAAAATTAGGAACTTCCGGCGCTAGCTACAGAATCTATTTTGCATTAATAATTTGGCCAACTTATATAGCTTATTACAATTACAACTGCACTGTCATTGGAGCGCTCTGCATATGTTTAAAAACTCTAATAAACATAGCTCTTAATAACCGTTTAGTTTAATTAGATGTGAGTAAAAAAAGAAAGATCTATATTACTCTCACAACATAGCACGCATTACTGTTGGGAAGAGTTTTGTAAGAAACACTTTTCCCGTCGATATAGAATGAACAATGAAGTGCAGAATTCTCTGGCTCCTCATCTATATGTTGTTTATTCTTTTCCATTTTCGGAAATTGTTAAAAAAACACAGTTCAATGATTTTCTACACATATTCATTTTGGTCGAATTTCTGACTGTACGATCTGATTCATGAACCGTATTGCCAACACATGATCTGTCAGGCAAGTAGGCCAGGTGGTGGAATTGCTGACAGACAGTATGTTTGTGCCCCTAAATTATGATTTCCAACGGACATAGCTTGAATTTGTATGGATTTACTGACCGCTTGTCGTTAGTTGGTATAGTTTGTTCCCCTAAATTGAGGTGGCATCCACGAGCGTTGCAGGCTGGCCGGTTTTAAGACGATCAGACGCCGAGGCGAGACCAGAGGAGGAGGAGGAGGACAACGAGAGTATTGACGCATGTGTTGCACATTCCATAGTACGGCGTCCCATGCATGTGAGATGCTACGTACAACTCCTAATTAATTGGAACGACCTTATCCGATCCACAAGTGGCAGATGGGGATAAGGTGAATAATGCAGTTTAGAGCAAGTATAATAGAGGGCTATAAAAAGAATGAATGTTGAGATGGATGAGAGAGGAGAGGAGAGAGATGAGAAGCGGGCTATAAGCTTACAGCCGGCTTAGCCACAGGAACCAAGAAAATCTGTGAGACAAACAAGTGTACCATATATTTATATATAGTGAAGGAGCTGACCACTAGAAAGATCTATACAATAAGCAATTGCCTGTATTATTAGCCTTGCTCAAAGCGCTAAGAGCATGGCTAGTGGTTTCACCGGCCGCTGGCGCAATGAGGTGGCCATGTCACTTTAAGCCTTTGAGAAAGTCATTGCATATAGGCTGTGTTTAGTTCATACCAAAATTGGAAGTTTGATTGAAATTGGAACGATGTGATGGAAAAGTTGAAAGTTTGTGTGTGTAGGAAAGTTTTGATGTGATGGAAAAATTGAAAGTTTGAAGAAAAAAATTTGAAACTAAACACGGCCATAGTATCGGTTAATTCTCTCCTTAATTGAATAAGAATTCATATCGTATCGTACCTTAATCGCTACTAATCTCTCTCCGTCCCAAAATATAAACTTTCTTAGCATAGTGTCAAGTTAATCATTTTTATCTTTAACTATTAATAGCAAAAAAAAGATCAATCATGTCAAATTGATGTTACTAGATTTATTATTAAACAAACTATCATGATATGCAACTTCTTTTATTTAAAACATCTTATTTTTATAGACACTGTTGATCAAAATAACATCTCGAAAACTATATCAAAGTCCAAAATTACTTATAATTTTTGGACGGAGGGAGTAGCTTTTATGGGATAGAGAGATGGATTTTCGTCTGTGGTAAGATATGTTCTCTTGTTGTGCATGTCATCTAAAAAATATAAAAAAATTAGTAAGATATATCAATATGTGAATTATGTGTTTTATTCAAAATCAAATTTATTATTTTTATTTTACTTATGTAAATTAAATTTGAGTTTTTTTTCATGTTTGTGAAGTGATATGTATTGATATATCTTCTTAAATTTATTTTAAAATTTTAACGATATTTTTGGGTGGCATGAAAAACAAGGGTACATACTTTGAAGGGGATAAGTAGACCGCCCCAAGAACTAGCGGCAAGACTTGCTAGCAACCTGGCTCCTGGAAGGCTGGAACTATCAAACAAAGACTATAAATTGAACACCGATTTATTCAATTCGGGCGCCCCCACCCATTGCATGTTACGCTCAATACCCCCATCGTTGCCATGCAAGAGTTCTTATTATTGTTCTCTCTCTTTCCTCCTCTCATATATTGTAGCACATAGCTACTATCTTTTATCAAACTTTAAAGGTTATTTCTACTAAATTACTAATCCAATCTATGATCTATTCATATATCTGTTGCGATTAAATCTTTACAACAAGATCTCATATGATTATATTTTAATAAAAATATGCTTTTTATTAATCTTTCAACATATTTATAGTTTCGAATCTAGTAGAATTTTTCAACCAATAGTTATAGCCCGTTTTAAATAAAATTAATAAAAGGAGAGACAAACATGTCAAAAATCATAAATCTATAGAAAAAAAAAAGTTATTGTAAAATCTAATTTCGATGCATTGTAACTAAGTGTAAGTGCACTGTAACTGAGTGCATTTACCTAAATGTAACGGTAAGTTGGATATACAAGAATATGAATCTTGATGCAAGATCCTATGGATGAAAAAGTGAAAGATATTTCCCAAAAAAATTGAAAGTAGTAATCAAAAATCTATCGCAATTGAAATATATAGCAAATCCGTAAAGAAAAGTACGTCTAAAAAAATTAGCTTTGTTTCACAACTGATATAATTGTTTTATAACTTACTCCAGTGCTTCAACTTATTTTATGAAAATTTTCAAAGTTGTCACATGAAATATTATTTACGGCAACACCAATAAAAACTACACGAAACACTGAGTCCCAACAAATGAAACATCAGAAAGAAAAATGCTACATACATGTATTTACATATACTTAGATTTGAAGCATTATTATATCATGGTTGGAACATTAAGCTGTATCTATTAAAACATTATATTCCAAATGATGATGGATGGTTCATCTAATTAATAATTAAAGAGTAAATACCTCCCAATTAGTAGCTCAAGCCAGATATTAGAAATGAGAGAGTTTGAGGATAAACTCCACATCCCAAACCCTCTTAAAATTAGTTTGTATCAGAATTAGGAGTTGACAGAAAGCTCGGGCTCATGAGCTTGGCTCGAGCTCGCGAAGCACGGCTCGGCTCGAAACTTAAACGAGCTGAGCCCGAGCTGCCTCCATAGCTCGTTTCTGAATCGAGCCGAGCCCAAGCTAGCTCGTGCCTGGTCCATCAAAAACCCTAACCCCACAGTTGCCATCCCACTCCCATGTCGTCTTCGACTCTTCGTCTCCCCTTCCCATGCCGTCAGGCTCAGGCATCACCGCGTTCTCACAAGTCACACCGAGTCCGCTGCCTTTCAACGTGACCGCCGACCGCTCGAGGCCAAGGGCGCGAACGCCGTCTCCCTCCCCTGCACCACGGCCTCCCTCCCCAGCGTCGCTCCACGGTCAACGCTCCCTACACCACCGATGTCCCTAACTCGATGTCGTATGCTACTGATGGTACTTGTCCTTGCTGCTGCATTGCATTATTTGAGGCCAACGTGACCTGTAGGAGTTTGATCCTAATGCATACTTGATGTATACTTGTTGAAAATTGATTGCTTTATTGCTGAAGTGTTTACTGCTGCTAGTATCACGAGCTGGCTCAAGCTTTGAAATGAGCCAAGCCAAACTACTACTTTAGCTCGTTGTATTAATCAAGCCAAGGCAAGCCTATTCTTTGCCAAGATTTCACGAGCCAAGTCGAGCCGCTCGATTCCACCCCTAGTCAGAATGGGCCTTCAGCTAGACGAGGTCTACACATCGACAATATACTGTACCAAAATAAATACACTGTGCCAAAGAACAAATCAAGACATCTGACTGGTATTTAAGTCCAAGATAGTTTTTCGCAAAGCTTTTTTTTTTCTTTTTTGATATATTGACTTCCTGAAAGCTATGGATGCATACAAGGAAACGATGGTAGATAAGGAGGAAGGAAGCAAATTAACATTGGAGCATACAAAGTAAAGCGTTTCCACTGTACAGCTCATGTGAAGCTATTGGTTGGTATGCTTCTCTTTCTTCCTTGCACTTTTGTCTCCCTCATATGAAGAAAGAAATCTAAGCTACCTCTCTTCTGTACAGAAACCAAACATATCCCGACTCCTGAATGATGTATAGGTTCAGACGTTCATTGCTGTCGTCGACATGTTTACAGCTTGCCTTCTTGCTGCAAAAGCTTGTACCAACAGTGCTTGAGCTCTGCTTGACCATCGTATTTCAAGTTATCCTTCAGTTAACTTCAATCGTGGAACAACGTTCATTGCTTGCAGCTCCTGAAAAGGAGGGGAAAAAACGACCAAATTAAGTTAACTACGAGCTATGAAGCACATAAGAATATTACCCGCACTTAAAGAAACATTAGGCAATCCCCAAAAATAGCCGAGAGGATATTTGATCAACACAAAATAGGCAAGCATTTGAGCCTCAAGTCCTCAACTAGCCGAGCAAAGCAAATCTTCCAAGTCTCAAGAAAACAATTAAGACTAAGTACTAAAGTCCTCAATTAAGACTTGAAGGACTAAAGGAAACGTTTTCACTTCCCCAGTTCCCCCTCCTGCAGTACCTGGAATAAAAGCTTGCAAGCATACGGCATCCTCATCTTGGCCATATTTTCTCCATTTTTGCACATGGAACAGTAGGAAGCCTTCAGTTTATGATTGTAATAGCCTAACAAGCCACATTTTCTGCAAACCTGGCAGACAAAAAAGACATGAAACTTTTGGTCAATTGAACTAACGTCATTAGCAAAAGGACTTGGCATGATGCACAAAGTTTGGAGTTCTCAAGATAGTTGCCAAGAACAATTGGCCAAGTAAGCTCCTTAACAGATCCCAAATACTAGCAGAATGCAACCTGATAAAAGAGAGATTTTTAAAACATCTGAAACACTGTGACAAAAAACTACTCTATCTATAAAATTGTTTACTTCTAGGTTTGTCTAACCAATCAAACACAGAAATTAATTTTTGTTGAGCTAATTGGACTTGGGAATTTCAATGGTCTAAAGCATAGAACAAACACCCTAGAGTAATGGGATAGATACCAGGGTTTCAAATTTCAAAATTAGGGTTTCTGCTGAGGGGGAGCGATAGAACCGAAATTTCAGAAATTTCGGAATTTTTTCGTACGAAATTTTTTGAAATTTTGACTGATTTTGAATGGATTTGGATAAAATTTAACTAAATTCACAAAAATTTGCAAAAAAACCGAAAGTTTCGGGCGAGATATGAACATTTCGGTGGGGGCAAAATTTCGGAAATTTCGAACCGAAATTTCAAACACTGATAGATACAGAAATTTCTATTAAATGGCATCTCCAGCCTACAGAGAAGCACAAATTACTTCAAAGATTACCTGTACTTGATATGGATCACTAGATATTAGTAGACGTTCAAAGATTAGCATGCTAGCACCGTATGCGATTAAACAGTCACGCTCCATCTCACCAAGACGTAGGCCTATGAAAATACAAAACAGCAGGAAAGTTACTAGGCTTCACAGTGGTTTAAAATTGCAGCATATATAGAAGATGTATAACCTCCATCACGACTTCGCCCTTCAGTAGGTTGCCGGGTCAGCAATACTCGTGGTCCACTAGCTCGAGCATGCATCTTATCAAGAACCTGCAGAAATCCATAAGTACAAATATATTTACAGAATTGTAGAAAAAACTATAAATACAATCTCAGGCAACCTGAAAAGGCATTCATAGGTACCACTATTAGCTTGAAGAAACCTAGAAAAAGAAGTGGCTATCGTTCAGACAAATATTGCTCAGGCCTGCTAATAATACCTTTAAACAAATTAGTATATCATGTATTTTACAACCAAATCTATATTACTAAAGCTGGCTGGTCCTCCAACCAGATTATTGGACCACGTGGCACATTTACATTTGGAGATAAATAGATGGATTAACACCCTAAAAAAATTAAAAAAGAGAGAACTGGCAAGTTTCTTAGCAGTTGATTGGTGGTTGTGGTGCACAATGAAATGCTGACACGTGTCCCCCCTCTCCCTATCAGTTTGGGTAGTGGATCTCCTGTCATAAGTGATGCAAGGAAAAAAATAATAAAAATAAATTAAATCTATAGATTTCAATGAACTCAACATCTAGAGAATTCTGGCCTGGTTGATCTTATGACAGGAGATGGTAGACAAAAAGATTTAAGACATTGGCAGTAGCATGGAGTGTTCTCTTTTATAAATAAAACTAGATGATGCCTCGTGCTTTGTTGCGGGATATATTTTAGATATTGCAGAAATAATTAAATGATTTGAATTGAAATATTGTGAAAATAATTTGAGAATGATGATTTAGCATGTGTATGTTTAGTTTTAGAATGAAATAAAATGTAGATATAATTACGATATGCTTGTACGTTGAGCTTTGTGTGTTTAGTGGGTTGATGTGGCATGTTTGTATGTTAGGTTTTAGGAGTGCTAATAAATATTATGCTTGCATTTGAGTTTTAGATGTTTAGTGAGCATTAGCTTTATAAAAAGAAGGGACATTGTACCTCTTTTAAAATAAATGTTTTTAATTAAAGTACTTACATCTGTAGTACACCTCACAATTGAAACATAATTTCAAATCCATAATCAATTCATTATCTTAAAAAAATCATTATCAATTTGAATTTCTTTATACAAGTTCAACGTTTTAAATTTAAATACTAAATACATTCATCCGTTGAACTCTGATTCATTCTTTAAAATTAAAAACAGACAAAAAAGATTCATTCAAATATAAAAATATACACGGGCTATCAAGAAGACACATTATTATACGCGATATAAATTAGGCGCACCAATGGGTGTGCCCATTTTCTAGTTACACCAGAATTTTGCTAGTCAGTAGGAAGTGATATATTGATATAAACTGTGATAATAAACACATGTTCATTTCGTGCCCTGCTGAAATCAACAGAGACAAAACAAGTCGTGGTATGTCAGCCTACCAGACAAAGGGAAGTACTCCCTCCATCCAGGGATTTTAGGTTCTTTTGGAGAGATTAAGGTTATGAGGAAAAGACTAAAGTGCCCCTCAATAAATGAGGGATAGTTGGGGAGTGGGAGGGTAGATGGGGGTAAGATTGGGTAAAAAATTAAATAAGGGGTAGTTGGATGGGACAAGAAGTACCAGAAATCCCTAATATTTGTAGACAGAGGGAGTGGTTTCGAGGACACTTAGTAAAATACAGATCAAAGTCAATAAGATACGTGAACATTGTTCATATAAACTTAAGCTACAGTTCATGCATGAAGCCTTTGTTTAAAGACAAGTAAAAAAGAAACAACATGAAAAACAGTATGCCTACCATGTGCTTCAACTTCTGGTAGTAGATTGGCCCCATGAATACATATGCCTGACAAGGATGGCCTAAAATTCCTGAAAGACAGAAAAGGCTCTTAGGAACAGTCTTAAAGTAACGGTCTGCAGCCGCACAAAGCATAAACAATAGTCTAAAACCTAAAAGGTAACAGTAATAATTTTGCAGAACCAAGATCTACAAGGAGATATGCAGTATCAATGAAATTTGCATAATCATAAAATAAGAAATAATAATAATTTTGAAACAGGTAGGCTCCAGGGATATACAAATACCAGTTTACAATTAACTTTCACCACGCACTATTCTCATCCAACTACAAGTGGGGAGTGGGGAGAAGTTGTAAAATATGGAAGAAGACACGGAAATGTGACACTTGTTTTCACTAAGCATGCACACACACCTAGCCAATGTACAATAACAGGCAATAAACCAGCTAGATGTTATCCGAGTTATCTTTTTGTGAAGTGTTGAATGTTTTTCTTAAAAGAAAAAAAAAATCAAGTTTTGAACTTTCAGAATGCTTATAAAGTAACTACACGCTCAAGGATAAATAGCATACAATAGGGAGCATTGAGGCATAAAGCCTGGCCACTTTTTTTAAGAAAACAATGATGAAGGGTATGCCCGTAATCTGGTTGCTAAAGGTTGTTTATAACAAGCCAACACCATTCTTTTTTGCTACTAAGAACTAAATTTGCATATTTGGCACTTATAAAAAAAAATCGACCTGCCGAACCCCTGCCCTACCCTTACACAGCGGCACTGTAGCCTGTGTGAGAACGAGCAACGACCTGAGCCGGACCTTAGACCTGTGCATTGGCGTGGGACAGACGAGGGGACTTTTTTAACCCCAGCCTGAAATTTGCTCCCACGGGGAGTCGAACCCAGGATCTGAGTAGTGCTACTAGAGCCACCTAACCAACTCAGCTAGAGGCCCGTTCGCACTATTTGGCGCTTATAAACATCGAACTTTTCAATCTTAGTAATTATTAGTTAAAACTTGTTTTATTTGAATACTAGTTTCAGCACCACGGTTTTCAGTTTAACGGGAATATAATCTATACACACTTCCAGTAAAATGGAAATTTAAAATGTATCAATTAAGTTTGCATTATAAAAAATAAACCTCACCTGAGTACAAGAGATCTTTTCCATTATAGCTGAAGCCATGCTTTACCAGAGTACGGCTGATTTGCAAACAAAAACAATGTTAAAGAAATATTGTAAACCAAGTTACCAGCATTACCATGATGAAAGAATACCTTATATCTTCAACCTTATCAGCATTACCACTTGGTTCCCCAAATGCACTGCCATAATGAAATTGACCACAAGATACGCCAGCCTTCCCCCCAAGAAGTTCAATCATTTTACCTATTGTCATTCGACTGATTCGCAAAGACATAGTCAATCCAGATAAACATTATAGAAAAGAACGTTACAAGGTTAGGAGCATACTAAATAATGTGAAAAACCATCAAATTTGGATTCTCTAATGGTTTTAAGCATGCCTGATTGCTCATTACCAGTATAACCCTCTACTCTAGAGCTAGTATTGTTAATATAAGGTTGGAAAAACCTTTTTGATAGGTTTATCTTGCATCTGAAAGTATCAATGATCACATGCACAACTCAGAAGTTATTATAGTGTTCCAGTTAACTATTTCCAGCATTAGGAACACCAGAGTCCTCTAGGATACATGAAAAGTGCCTCGTGTCTGAATTGCTTTGAAGAACTACAACTATCAAAATGGATCTGCTAGAACTAATAGTACCAAAGTTGCCAAACAGAGTTGAACAAGGCATGAACAAAAACTTTACCTACTAAATGGTTCCAGAAACACATATACTACTACTTTGTTCTTTCTTTTCTTTTAGGGAACACATAAAAGCTATGCACGCTTTTGTATTAAGAATGGAATAATGTAACTGTACAAAATTTCTAGCTGGCCTCAACAGCTATAACGACTAAAGCAAACAACAAAACCAAACTTAAGGTGACATTCACAAAAGTTCCTTTTTATTTGACTTTGCTCTGTCTACAAAATTGTGTCACCGGCCTTTTCTAATGTTTGACTTTGCTCCTAATATAAGTAAAAAATACACTATATTTTCAGCAATAAGCCTTATTACTAGATATTTCATGAAGAATGCTTTAATATTATTGTAATTCTATTTTTATGTTTTAATGTAAAATTATAATAACTGAGGGTCAGATTTGAGCAACCGCTAGCATGTAGATTATGATACCGTAGTCCCTAGGTTAAGGAAATCACAAGAAAGATGAAACAGACATATAGTGTAACTAAAGAAAATATAATACCTTGGAAATCCATGGGGATTCATAATCAAATCAGGGCATATTCCTCTCTCAGAGAAGGGGAAGTCTTCCTGCTGAACAATGGTACCACAAACACCTTTCTGTCCATGTCTGCTACTGAATTTGTCACCAACCTGGATCACAAACAAGAATTCCGAATTTTACATTCAACTCTGGAGATGAAATCAACAGAATTCAACAAAAAAAAAGGGCATACCTCTGGACGCCTAGTGTGACGGATAATACATTTGATGATTAATTTCTCATCTGTATCTGAACAAAGCATTACACGATCTACAACAGTGGTCTCGCCATCAACACCTTTGTAGACAGCAGGCGAGTCCTTATAGTCCCTGGATGAGTAAGCAATGAAGTACATAAAACATTATTTAACAGCAAAGTATTTAAGCCAAAGGATTTGCCATCCCTAAGCCATGTGGTCCTGGCCACACATGTCATTGACATATGAGTGGCAAATCCTCAATTGGAGCTACCAGAAAGTGGCAAACCTCAAGTCCCCCATTACAGGAACACAAGAAACAAAACTCACCTGTCTGTTAAATGAGCACCAGAATCTCTCTTGGTATTTCTGGGAGTTTGCTTGTTCACATAGATATCATGATTGCGTATTATTAGACCTGGTGCAGCAAATCCATCTTCATCCAATGCCTGTAAAAAGAAGTCCTCGTTTTCTTTACAAGTTATTCTAAAATGCATAATAAATTTATTGAATACATTATATGGATAATCTTGTTCATTAGGAACTGCCAAGATAACTTTTTTATCCCATCCATTACAAATCAAATATATGGATAATCTTGTTCATTTGGAACTGCCAAGATAACTTTTTTATCCCATCCATAACAAATCAAAATGCCCTCCGTCCCACCCATAAACCAAAAGTAAAAACAACTAAGAGCACACATGAACACAAAATAAAATATATAAGGGAATTGGGGACGAAAAACTACAAGTGCACTTCAAGAAACAAGTCCAAGCTAAACTTGGATGTTCTTGCAAGCAAGGTCAGCAAAATAATGCATGGAAACTAGCTAGGGGAAGTTCTCATTCAATTCGACCTCTTTTCGACAAATCTAAATGGATGGATGGGTTATTTCGTATGGACTTCTACCTTCTTACTATGGAAAACTAGGCATAAGAAAATCTCAGAACAGTGACTAGAATAAATAATATTTATACCCGCATGTTCTGTTTTAACAGAGCACCATCTTTATCCCTCTGGGGCTTAACGATCCTGTCTGAATAACCACCTTCATACTTCTCCTTTGTCACAGTGTACCTGCAAGATGATAACCAAATACAACTACATAAATGAATACAGCAATACTACAGGCATGTTCCCTCAAGCACCTCAATGAAAGTAAAAGAACATTATTATTTGGAGTATAACATTACTTTTTCATTGCAATGCAACGACCAAAACCTCGGTCAAGGGATGATTTGTTCATTACAATTGCATCTTCAATATCGTATCCACTATAACTCATGACAGCAACAGTTGCATTCTGTCCAGCCCCAAGCTTATCATATCCAACCTGAAAATATTTGCAGGTAAATATACAGCATGCAGACATACTTTTACAAGAAGGAAATGAAATGAGGACGAACCAACTCAATAGTTTTTGTTGTAAGAAGGGGACGCTGTGCATACACTAGTAAATAGAGTAGAGAATCTGCTCGGAATAACTGCAGCACATTTCAAAGAAATATTATTTCATCTCAGTCAGAACAAAAACCAGAATATAACACCACAATGAAGTCAAAAATTATGCATAAGAAAAATATTTTTATCCAATATCCTTGTGTACGCAAAGATGCTGCTAAATGTCTGAATGCATGCAATAGTTGCAACCAGCCTTTTCATGTAAAATTCACTTATCTAAGATTTGTTTTCTGCAAAGAAACAAAAAAAATATTTAGCAGCATTTACTTGTAAAAAAAAAGTCAATCAGCTTCTTGCCTGATTATACGCGATATTTCCCATTGCTTGCTTACCCATTGCACACTGCAAACAATAAACTGTGAACAAAATATAATCCTAAAATTGTTGAGATATATATTTGTTATTAATAATCTGCATCCTTGCCTGGTAAGTGTTACGGGGAGACTGGTTATGATGTGGATAAGGAATAAGTCCAGCTACAACCCCTAAAATGGTCAAGGGCTCTATTTCAATATGTGTGATACTGCTTCTTTGAACATCATCTTGATCCTCATGCTCATACAGGGCAATCTGTTTGAATCATCACAAAACAATATCAACAAGATAATAAACCACAGAAAAAGACAAAAGAATAAAAGAATCCTGATATACCAATGCATTGTTTTCTTCATTAACGTCAAGATATTCGATCAACCCATCACGCAGAAAATCATCAAACGAACGAATACCATCCTAGAAGATATAATATGATGTGAGATTAAGAATAAACAAATGACAATAGAAAAAGAAATTATGACGTGCAAATTGCTAACTCTCAATTGTTTCATATGATGCTCTTTGACTCTTGGTATCCCCTTATCAGCAATTATAAGTGGGCGACAGACACGACCGCCATCAGAGGCAATGTGAATGCAATGCTAGAAAAGACAGTGACAAAGTCAGTAAGTCCAACACAGTTTTCTTTTAACAAAAAAAGGTGCTGATCACAGTACAACAATCAACAGGATTATATTTGTACCAAAGTAAACAGAAAAGATGGTATGTTTATTGTACTGTCTGCAGTTCCATAAAATGTGTGTGTACAAATAGCACATTGCTGGTCTAATGAGAATCCTAAACCGACAAACTGAGCATATAACCATTGCTAGCTTCATGAATTTAAACTGTCCCAAGATCTAGAGGTGGTACAGATTTTGTCCAATTTGGAGGGAAAAGGATTAGATAAGAAACAAGTATCAAAGAGAAAATGCCAAATGAATTTTGAATATGTTAGGGAAGTATTCACCAATGCAAGATGATTTAATCCACTTCTCAAATTAAGTGACAATATTTTTACCAAGTTGGTAGCAATTATATATCTCAAGGTTCCACAATCTTCTTTGGCCTTAAATTGGTACTGAAATTAAGCTTAAAATGGCGATCCATTCATTTGAGGACAAAATAGAATTAATAAACACAAATTTTGATTAATTAAAAAAATTTGGACCCTAGGCTTTTCCATCATTATCAGCTGCTAGGCCACAGTTTTCATAACCATGATGCTAAAACATTCCAGCTAGTAATAATAATCAAGAAAATGAACAATACCTGCTTCTCGTTTACAAAAATGCTTACGAACTCTCCAATTATACCCGAACGACGCAATTTTCTCATAGCATTAGCAAATCTCTGGAAAGTAAAATCGACATCTCAATGAAAATAAACAAAGTCAAATAAGTAAAACACAAATATGACATTTATAGTTAACAAGACCTGAGGTTGTCTGTGTTTCCCCAGTATTAACCCATTGAACATGACCAAAAACGAACCCGATGCATGGATTTCTTCTCCAGACAGAAGTGATAAATCTTCCACACCTAGACTATAACACTAGTAAACAACAAACAAAAAAAAAGTAACAGATATAAGATTATGCAGAAAAGTTACACTTCAATCATATATCAAAGGATGGAGCGAAAGTGAAAGTAAACAAAGAAAGTATCAAGGCAGTTCACAGAAATAGACTTAAATAGGAATGAAAATGAAGTATGTGCTTTGCAGTAGAATGTAGTCAGCTGCAGGGAATAATTCCAGCATACTTTTACTTTCTTGATTACAAAATTATAAGGCACTAAGTTTCATCAGCTATCTTAAATCGCATGTGCATGAAAGGGATAGCCCATGAAAAAGGATAAGGGACAATAAAAATAATGTCAGTTTAATAATATTAGAACAACAGAGGGACACACACGGTTTACACTTCACACAACAACAGAAATGAGTACACAAGACTAGTATTGTAGAGAAGACATACGAGATTCATGAGTGGGCCTTCCTCTTGATCTGTTGTAACGTGGGTCAACAAAGCTAAATTTTTTGTCAAGCCACAAGCCTCCCCTTCAGGAGTATCACATGGACAAAGCATACCCCACTGTTATAGAAAAAGTATGAAATCTATAACGTGATAGGCAAATTTTAAATTTTGACAATTACTGCCTCTTTATGAAGTACAAACACCGTTACCATTTTCCCCCACCTGACTAGGCTGCAAAGCACGAGGTCCACTTGTTTTCCGGGTCTTCTCAAATTGTGGTGTTATCCTTGTCATATAGCCTAAAGATGCCATGTAGGATAATCTTGAAAGAACCTGCATAAAAGGAAAGTATAAAATAGGACCCCTTAAGATCTGTAAAAAAGAGGAGAAATAAAACACATGAATGAGTAGATACCTGTGATACACCTTTTCTATGCATCCTAAATCGTTTAATATCCCAATTTCCTGTGGAAATAGCCCTCTCCAAACCATGGGTTATGATATTTTCCTTTATATGCTGCAGAATAATGAAGAAAATTACAGCTAAGATACCATGTCTGAGCATCACAAAGCACTTACTTCTTAGAGTCTAAGCAGATAAACAAATTCATTTCAATATAGTATGCACATTAAGAACAACAGGGTAACCAATTTCTCCTGTGCATCTTTCAGTATCCAAACAAACCTAATTGGAAAAAAGAACCACAGTACAAGGAACCAGTTACTTTAACCTACACGTTCCGTGAGGAATAGAGTAGTAGTACTAAACTGCACCAGCACACAACTAAGGATTATAAAGAGAAATGTTCAAAGAAAATAGTGAAAAAACTAATTGAGTGCACTATACAAGTATGAGATTGTAAAACACAAAATGATCCATAAATATGCATAAGCTTCTCATTACCAGGCTTAAATCCAATGGGCTAGAATGGATCTTTTCACTTGTTTTGTTCATAAGCTCCACAGCATTGGAGTTCATCGTTTTGAACAAATCCTTCACGAAAGAATGATGTGAGAACATAAAAAATGACATGCACTAAAATGATAAGAGAAAATACCTCAAAAAGCAGGGATATTAGTTGACCAGACAGCTCTAGCCTCTTATTTCCTACATAATCCTGGAATAAATTCAACAAAAAATGCCATATGGTAAATATATGATCCATCATGAGTTAAATTGCTACTCAATTTAGAAACCTATCTAAAGTCTGAAATTAAGAATATTGCCACTTGATTCATGAAGTCTACATTGACACCATCAAATGGAGCATAGCGGTTCATAAGTCAGACAAGGTGTGATTAAGAAAGCCAAGTTAATTATTCAATAGACCAAGTCCATATTTACATACATTTTCATTCCTTGTAAAGCATTGATGAAGGAAAAAATATGGATTATCTTATGTTAGATGGAAAATTTTACATTAATTAAAGCAATGCACTGGCAAACTCACCTTATCATCAAAAGTGTCGGCATTCAAGATTGCATCCATCATGCGCCTTAACATAACAGCTGTGTATATGCACTTTGGTCGGAAATTCCCGCTTTCAACCTACAGGAGAGCTTGTCATGTGTGTGAGAAAAGACTTTGGCTGCAAAAACCTAGTTAATTTATCTTACCGGAACATGTGCAACAAAAACATCACGGAGGATTGATTTTGAACGACCTTCCTGAAAATGAGAAACATGGGGGGATGTAGATAATTTTCAAACCAAAGTTTGATACATGTAATGGAGGCAGTAACTTAATGTGTAGCACAAAAGCACAGTTTGACATATGTAGTCTCTAATTATCAGTTTCAAAACAAAAATCTGGGAATTTAAATTGTAGCATATATATTTTTTAATTATCAACAATATGTAAGAGACAAGAGGAAAATATGAGCTGGAGTTAATTATTACCTTCTGATTTCCTGCACCAGGATACATCACCTGGAAAGAATAGCATACCGTATGAGTACAGGAAAGATCCACATTCAATACATACATGCAACTAAACAGCAAAATTAGAATTCCTTTTTCCTCTATATGCCGCCAGATTGACAAAATGGGAAAAAAAACACACCATAATATCTTTCAGTTGTTTTATGGAAATGAACTAATGGATGCTGCTGAAACATAGCCTCAAAAGAGTATTCAGTGTGCTCTTTCTGTTTAATGATCCTATGGAATTGAATTAATGGATGCTGCTGAAACATACTCACTGTGCTCTTTCCATTCATAATTCAAACCACAATTAACAGTTCAACTCGATGGTGATATTAAATTATGCTATTCAGATTATCGTTTCACCTTGTCATCCATGTACTGCAGAGCTTGCTTCTGTGTATAGATTCTCTCAAAGGCACATTCCTACAAAAGATGAGAACATTTTAAATAGATGTAAACTCATGTGGAAAACATGAAATAATGACATGAAAACTGTTGATAAGATGTATGATTGTTATCTGGAGTACTTGAGAAAAAGTGAACAGTTTTTACTAGTTCGAAAGAGTTATACAGCCACAGATTTCCAGTGTAGTACAGCCATGAAAAGAACTACTACCGTCGTCCCAAAATAAGTCCATCTTTGGCCATTGTACGCAAAATTAAGATTTAGTGAAAAAGACCAAAGTGCCCCTTATCAATAGGAAAAGTAGTATTGGTGGGTGAGTAGGTAAAGGCATTGAAGGAAAATTAAAACTCAACGATTTGCAGATCGGGCTAGGTAGAGGGAAATAAGTGAATTTATTTTGGGACAAAGGGTAGAGCCTAAAAGTGAACTTATTTTGGGGCGGATGGAGTTTTAAGTGAAATACCTGAATAGATGGATATAGGAGATCTCCATATCTTGGATCTCTTCCGACCATTTGTGCAACCTCTTGGTCACTTTCCATCCCCATCGCTTTCATAACCACAATTATAGGTATCTGTAAACTTCCAAGCTTAGAAGTAGATCATGAAACATCCAGAAGGTCTTAACTCTTGAGCACATTCATCAAGTGTCAGGTGTGAAATCAATGAACCGGAAGGGTTTTTTTTTTCTCAAATACATAGGAGAGCTGCATATCATTTCATTAAAGAAGAAGAAAAAGGAACTATGTACACAAACCCAAAAAAAGGCTATTCATATCATACAATAACAATAACATCAGCCTTTGCTCTCAAAGTCAAACCAAGTCAAACCACATGAAACAAAAGGAAAAAAAGAGGGGAGGTTCTAGTTAAACAAAAACGATTTTCTAGCCCAATTAAAAGAGATTCAGATCACTTAAAGTTGGGCATTATGCTAAAATTTCAGAGATCCCTGAATTGCAAAAATAAGGATCCACGCAAGGCAATGTTGCTTTACAACTCGCACGGTTTTTGCAAATGGGTCGTATGAAGACCTGAAACATTACTTTAATGAATTGCAGTTACATACCACGCACTATGGTGGAAGTGGGGGGGTTGTAGAAACTGGAAAGCCATAGCAGGGGCACAAATGTGCTATCATGCCACAGCCATAAGAATGCTCCAAGAGTAATTGCATAGCACCCACCACCCTGTCTACAATATCAGGTTGGTATACTTGTATCGATGGCTGGGTTTGATCCTAAGCAGTTCTTCAGATTCCGCCAAGCCGATGTGTGGCAAGTAAACAAACAAAGGCGATTCCACCTCAAATCTACCTGTTTAGTTGCTTCCTTACACAAAATGTGTTGCAATCCGATCTCTATCTCACTTGCTTCTGCCATGTCTAGAATCAAGGGAAAACATCCCAAATCCCCCTATGAATCATACCACCCACAGTTTTTATTTAATTACTAGTTACTGCCATATAACATTTGAGAAATAACAAATAAGTGAGAGAATTCATTAAATAGACACTTGGTTTTGTTTTGGTGATAACCACTAGGCAAGCCTTAAAAAGAAGTAGGCTTCATATGTGAAATGGAAGTAAAATCCCAGTTCCACTTTATTAGCCTATCCTTATATGCTCCAAGGATTCAGCCTGCTACTATATCCAATCCATCCGAGTTGTCCCAATAAAGCGGATTTCACTTTAGTACATCTCCGTGTACTTTCCCCATTGGTCTTACTCAGATATTTACTCGGGTAATTACAATATGGGCATAGTCATTTATAGCCTAGTCCACTTATCTTTCTCCTTTTCTTTACAGTTAAATCCGTCCTATGTTTCTGAGACCCAGAAACCAGTCAAGTAGGTATTTCTTTATCTTTTTCTTCTTATTTTCTTAGGGGGCCACTATAAGGGTGCCCGCAAACCTTACTATTCGGGGTGGTCTCCTATATCTCACTCTCACAAGGCTGGGGTGAATGAATGAATTTATGGTGTTGCCTCTGAAGTCAATCGACAGCAAGCGATACTTCACAGAACTTAACTTCAGTTCATAGAAAGATCCACCTCAAACTAACGAAAGGACCCTTTTGGGGTGGTATATCGCCTTAAAAAGTTTAAGGGGTAGTATGAGATCTGTAGTAGGTAAAAGAATTTGTACCTTGATTGAGTATGCTATTTTTCCTCCTTTACCGTGCATATATACGCTTCTAGAAGAGCACGTATGCAGAGAGGAAATTACAGTTTAATAAAAAAAAAAGTCGTATTCATGTGGGAAATCAAGCTATTCTAGTTGAAATTCACCGGAAAAAAAATGCACGCACTTCAATATGCCAAAATTGCAAAGGAAAATCCTTCAATTAACAGTGGAATTCAACCAAGAAATGGAAAGGTATATAGGAAATGCATTCCAACCACCAACCAATAAGTGATTCTGGTCAATCAATTCTACCCGCATGTTGAGAAAACTTTTCTTCTTCCAATTCTTCTTCATTCAATTCATTTCAAAAAATTCAATTGGTACTCAAAATAGTTCCATTGGTAATATTCAAATACCCCCAAAGAGCCAGCTATATTAGGGTAACTATTTTAGAATTTAGCTGTATAACTTCTCACTTGTTATGGCTTGGACTTTTTATGGCAGATCTCAGTGCGCAGACTCCTTTTTTATATATTTTTAGAGAGGAAATGAAATCATAGGATGGTGATCAAGAAAACCTACTGGGTTTTAGGGTGTTTGACTGGTGGCGAAACCAAGTGAATGAACTACTGAACTCCGGTTCTTCAAAGTTTTGGGATACTAGCCACCCCTCATTGAGTATGAGCTGAGAACCTGATTACCTTAGCGCGATAGTATGTTGGGGAACACTACTCCGAGTAGGATTCCGAGATGGATTGTTGGGAAACACCACTTCAATGCTCAAAGGATGACAATGGGTTTAGAATTAGAATAGAATGAAGACCCTATCGAACAAATAGAGGAAAGGACAGAAAGGGGAAAAAGTAAAGTCTAAGCGACATATGGCACGAAAAGGAAATCCAATTTCGGTAAGACTTGATCTGAATCGTAGTTCAGATCCAAGTCGGTTCAGTGAGGGCGACGGCGAAAGTCTTAACAAGAAGTATTGCAAGCCGCCCTATTCCATTACCAGAGAAAATAGTTAACAGGTTGAGACAGAGCATCAGATGCATACCGGCTTAGTGAATTGATTCAACTGTAGATAAATTTTCTCCTTCTCCATAAAAATCACAGTTTTGCTTTTTATTTCATGTGTGCTGCTCGTAACAGATGCAATCACCCTACATGAACGGAAAATATAAGTCACCGGCATAATATTCTGAGCAACAGGTATTGAATTGTAGCCCATTTTCCTAGGGGACTAAAATATAGAAGAAAATGAACAAGAACTGAAATGCCATTCACAGAAGAACACAGAAAGTAGTAACTTCAGCAACGAGTGAAGAACAGAATTCAAAGGATATGGATTTAATCTTGATGGTCGGAAATATAAACAAACTGTTTCCCCGGCACTACTAAGCTGAATCAAACTTAAAATATGATAATTCAACAAACAAATTGTACAGTTACTCAGAAAATAATTGGATGTTTCTAGCTAAGAAACTTCGAGCATTCTTGCCTACAACACTAGACTAAACATGGCTGGGACAACCAGACATCAACACAGATCAAATCATTCAACTGATTATCGTCTAATACATCAATCTAGAAGAAACAATTGACGGAACTTGCATAGTTTCTAAATATTTGATAACATGAAACAGGAGTGAAGTCCTTGTTTACACATTTCAACATTCAACAAGACACTGAACCACAAGTTTAAACATGCAAATACAGGACAAAAAAGGTATACTGTATACCACATGACAAAGGTGGGCACACCAAGTAACACTGAAATTTAGAAATCATAAAAACATACTACATTCGTAAAGATAAGTTGTTTTTTATTATTTATTATGGTCTCCATTGAAAGATTTTTGGCTACATTATCACAAGCCATGGAAGCTATACTGCCTTAAAGTCACAGCATCATTTGTTAGCAAAATAGCAAATAATAGTAGCTTTTACTGCCACATCATTCTAGAACATGTACTTTATTAAATTACAACTAATATCCCTCTTCTTTTAGCATTCGTTCGCTCTTTTGCCTTTCATGGAGAAATTATGTATTTTCAAATGTATGACTTAATTAAGTTACCCAGACTACGTGCACAACAGTAACTTAAGGGTATTCCCGGAGACAAAAAAATGACAAATTGGATGACTTCCCATTGACTAGGTTACACCTTAGAAACATAGGTAGACACAGTACATGAATAAGTTATTCAGAAAAGAGTTTAACCTTCCTTTACTATCGGTGTCGATAATAATACGATTCTTTGATAGCTGTTCTTGTATAAGAATGACCTGAAATTCATCATGTACCACGAGACATTAATTAACACAGAAGGTAATTGAAAAGTTGGACGAAAGAATATGCACTTCCTTTAGCTTTCAAACGTTAGCTGTGGCATGGAATACTAGTCAAAACGAAAGCAACACGATGAGCTAGAGAAAATTGTGTCAATATATTTAGTTACCTTCTCGGTTCCCTTAACAATGAAGTAACCACCAGGATCAAGAGGGCACTCACCTACACACACAATGACAAAACATCAAGTAATCAGCAATATAAAACGATCATTGTGTCCAAAAAAATATGAATAGTATAAAAATGGCTAACCATATCTTGCTAATTCAGCTTCATCCTTTCCATTCAGAACGCATGCATGACTTCTAAGCATAATTGGCAAGTACCCAATGATGAAATTAGGCTGAAAATTGAAACTGGAAGCTTAGTTCTTTAGGCCCTAAAGCATATAACAAGCATTTCATGCTACCATGGTCATATTCATTCAAACTAAATAGCAGTATTTCCAGTTGGGCTGGGGGAGGGTGTTAGAGTGCTTCAAAAAGACGTCTGACAAGTTACCTTCCTTTTCAGCTCATACTGCTTTCCAACTGTGTATTCAATATCAGCCAACACAGGAGCAGAGTATCTGAACGAACAAAGGAACATATTCAGCAAGCATTATAACTTTTATAGCTGACAGGAATTTGTGATTGCCACAAGGATTGCACTCGAACAAATGACTAGCACAACACCACCGAGGTGATCAATCTAGTTTATCTGATGATTCAGCTAGTTACGACTTACGGACACATATTAATACACCTTGGATTTCCTACTATAGCGGGCTCCACAGCACCATTTCCAACATAAACTCTTACCTTCAGACAGTTCTAAACCATCCGTGGTTAAAAGCTCAATTACAGAGGCACAAAAGAAACATTTCCAGTGATATACTGATATTCATGATAAACGTCTATAGTTGGAATCTTGCTATAGCTTGCCGCAATTATGGCAGGCAAGAGTTCTGTATTCACCACCCCTCTCCAAGTAAATCCATGTCTTTACATTATTCTATCTAACTCTAGCTGAAGCGTTTTTTTATGCCTAGCATCTTGAATATGAGGCAGTGGGGAGGCTTACGTGCGATCGGTAAGGCGGCAAAAGTGTGGCGTGATTTTTTCAGCGATGTATTGTACTTGTACGGAGGGCACACCAACCCTTACACTATTGTACCTGCATGAAAGACATCAAGATGAAGAATGTAAAATTCATATGTGCTACAACTACGTAAGAGAAGACTAAAAAGGAATTGCAGTGGAAACTGAGAGGGAAGGAAACTTGCCTAAGAAAAATAGAGGGGTTGTTGCGCGCTTCGATGCGATTGTTTGCCTTGACAATGTTCCTAATTCCCTTGGTGATGAAGTAGTTGAAGGAGTCGATGTGCTCCTTAACGAGGCCTCTAACCTAGATGGCGCAAACAAGCACAAAACTAAATAGATGAAAACACACACGCACAGGGATTGAATCGCATCGAATCGAATCAACAGAGAGGCGGGGATTATGCAGGTGGGGGGAGGGGCAACCTTGAGGAAGGCAGGAAGGAGCGCGAACTTGTCGACGGGCTTGGTGACGGGCGCGGCGAGCGACCTGTACGTCGGCGACGGCAGCGACGCGTTGGGGTCCTTGGCGGCGGGCGCCTCCTCCTCCTCAGTGCTGAAGAAAGAGAAAACGAGGAGAAAGAGGGAATGAGGATGATGGAAGCGAAGGCTCGTCGGAGCGGAGCGGAGCGGAGAGGGTGTACCGTTCCATGTCGTCGTCGACTGCAGCGGCGACGGTCGTGACGGCGGCGGATTGGATGGGGTGGAAGTGGGAGTGGGAGTGGGAGGGCGGCGGTGGCGGTGGCGGCGGCGGCGGCGGCGCGTACCGGAAAGAGAGAAGCCAAAAAAAAAGGGGGAAAAGGGGGACGGTAGAGATGCAACAAAACATAAGGTGGGCCTGGGCTGGGCCGGTATGGCGGTATGTAGTGTAGGCCTTCAGATACCTAAGGTATAGTGCTATTGGCCTGGGCTACAGAACGCACACAGGCTTTTGTTGGGCTTTGGGCTATATTTCAATTTATTCGGCTAGTTCGGTTAACCGAGAGAAATGACCGAATTTACCGGTGTAAACTAGATGGGTGTTGCGGAGCAATTGTACGATAAAATAGTACTCGTACTTTCTCCATCTGAAATTGTAATGCTTATAACTTTTTTACTCGGTCTTCAGTAACATAGTTTGACTATTAATTTGTTTCATGTAATGTTTCCAACGAATATGAAATTATCATCAAATAAAATACTTTAAAATATGAATCTATCTAGTAATATAACATGCATAATAATCCTTTGTCCTAAATTATAAGGCTTATATTTTTTTATAGCCTTTGATAACATATTTTGACCATTAATTTGTTGAAAGAATTGCAAATATGTCACTGCTTTTACCCCTAACTCGAAATAGCCATTATAAATACGCAAATTGCATTTTGCCACAAAAGTTGGTGTGTATGGCTTCAGTTTGCCATTGCAATCTGAACTGGTACTTGTTGGTATTTCTTACGATCACAGATAGAATCTGTCAGGGTTACAGATAAGGTATACCCTCTATCTTTAGATGTACGTTGTATACTGATACGATATACCCGTGCGTATACGGATAGTTTCCGTATACATTAAGGAAATCTATCATGTGATAGGGATGGTATCTACGGATGGAAGGAGTTCTACTCGGACAAGACTAGGTCTTTACCATATCGTGAGGGGTCCGATATCTCCGAGTCCTACTTGGAGATCACCTGACCCGCGGTATATAAGAGACCCCCTGGGCAGGACCTAAGGCATCGAATATCACCGCCAACACACCCACCACAGCCTACAGAGCCGGAGAGTGCAGGAGCCAAGTCGCCGGAGATCTAGTCGGACCAACTCGACTACGGTCTCTTCGGTATCATCGAGTTCTGCTATTCCCTTTGTAATATGTGGTTTCCATCATATAATCCCATACCAACTGGATTAGGGCTATACTCCTCAAAGCGAGAATACAAGAAGGTGCCCGCGCTATTACCTACCAAGGGACCTGAACCAGTATAATCCTTATCTTTTGTTTGCTTGATGTCGTACTACGTCGATCCTTGTACCAACGGACCCCAATACCCTTTATATCCGGTCTACGGGTATTCCCGTCGACAGAATCCGCAAGCGCACGGATATACCGATGTAGCACTTCCCCTATGGAGTATTCCAAGGGTATCGAATCCAAGGAAACGTGTGTAATTATCTCTTTCTCTGGTTTATCCAAGGACACAAGATAAATATGGGCAAAGGGCAGAGAGGATTTCCTAGTGAGAAACAGTGTCTAAAGAAAGCTTAAGTTTAATCCTAACGCGATACTTCAAGCACTAGCAACTCGTTGTTCCCAGATGTTGCTCTACTACATACCCGAACAGAGAGGACTTAAGTGCTCTTGAGGGTTATCACTACCTCTACACCCACCTCAAACGTACAGATAGGATACGCAACAACCACTGGAAATTAATTACCTAGACATCGCGTCTACGCAATTAATTACTTCCTCCGTTTCATATTATAAGACTTTCTAGCATTGCCCACATTCATATAGATGTCAATGAATCTAGATACATATATATATGCCTAAATTCATTGACATGTATATGAATGTGGGCAATGCTAGAAAGTCTTATAATATGAAATGGAGGTAGTACTACTCTAGCACTGGCCAAGCACTAAAGCAATCACTATATATTAATGGACTATAGTGAACAATGATCTTGTATGCTAATTACGAACTAACCAAGAATAATTCTCACGAAGCAAATCTTAATTACTCAGAATGATATTTCTATTGAAACAGAGTAATTAACAAAGTACAAGAATAATGAGAGGATTACCGACAACTCCGGAATTCCTCTAACTTCTTCTACTTCACTCTCTCCCCATTCTAAATATACTATAGAACATATAAAGAATATAAAGTATACTTAGAGCCTCTTGTAATTCAGCTCTACATCTTGGTGTGTGTTTACAAGTGAGAATGAGAGGGGTATTTATAGGTGGAGAAGTGCCTTAGAAGAGTGGAGATCCTCCAAGCATCGAATGAGCATCTTCATCCTCCTAGTGTCATGTGTCCAGTTATGATGGTTTCTACCGGTGAAAACAACCATAACCATCATTGGGAAGTGGATTGCTACCGAAATGAACTTGAGCCGAGGCAAACGGCCTCCGTGAGGGTTCGGCGGTTCGGCCGAACCCGGGACGGCTCCGTTCACTCCGGTTTTCGGCCTGGACACTCATTTTGGGCCCCTCAATTCATTGGTATGAATGTTTGGCCCCTTGGGTCCAAAACTCCATAAGTTCGGATACGAGTTTGATTCTCATCCTCCTTCATGTATACTTCTTCTCAACTTAGGTAGTTTGTCACTTGCATATGAATATACTCCAACACTCGTGGAAATTGTTAGAAATAAACCCTACCGCTATGTTGGATGTTTCATATTTATGGTCTTATGCAGGTATTGATGGCATTAATTTGGTACTTAACAGCCATCAACAGTACAATTAAAACTGAACTTCAGCTAGGCGCAATAGCAGGAATGGTACTTCAGTGTTCTTGAACCACACAAAAACCCACAATGTGGTTCCAGGACAGCAGCAACTCAAAATGGATAAGGATTTCGGTACAACATCAGTTGAAACATATAGGTATGATCAAGAAGCCTCTTAACGGAAATTTTATTTGGCAATTATCATGCATGAGTATCCCTTCATTATTGTTGAGCATGAGTATTTTGTTGACTTCATAAAATCTCTGCGGCCTACCTTTCCTTTGAAGAGTCATATAACTATTAGGAAGGATATACTTGGTATATTTTCAGAAGAATGGAAAAGGTTATATGAGCTTTTTAAAAATGTCAATGCTCGCTTTAGTGCAACAATGGACATGTGGACCTCTAACCAAAACAAGGGTTACATGTGTATCACGGTTCATTGGGTTGATGACAATTGGTGTATTCAGAAAAGGATTATCAAGTTCCTGCATGTTAAAGGGAGGCATACTGGGATAAATTTAGCTAATGTATTTTCTTCATGCTTGCATAAGTGGTTCATCGAGAAAAAAACGTTCTCTCTTACTTTGGACAATGCAGCAGCAAATGATGTTTGTGTTAAGGATGTGATTAGGGTGCTGAATAGAAAGAGTCCCCTCGTCTCTGATGGAACATTCTTTCATGTGAGATGTGCATGTCATATACTTAATCTTGTTGCTAGAGATGGTTTGGCACATATTGGACAAGCTGTTCTGAATATTCGATCATTTGTGATTCTTGTGAAGTGCTCTCCTTTACAGAAGGATGAATTTATGAAATGTGCATCTGAGAGTGGATTGGATACAACGAGGGGACTCTCAACTGATGTTTTGACAAGGTGGAATTCAACCTACCATATGTTGTCGGATGCCATATATTATAGAAAGGCTTTTGAAAGGCTTTATGAAATTGAAAGAGAATTGTATGATGAGGATCTTATTCCAAAAGCTGAAGATTGGGATAAGGCAACTACACTCGGCCAGTGCTTAAAGAGGTTTGATGATATCACTAACATTTTGTCTAGTACTTCTTATCCAACTGCAAATCTATTTTACCACAACTTTTGTGAAATCAAGTCTTTAATTAATGCATGGATGAAAAGTGACGATGTTACCATCAAAACAATGGCCACCTCAATGAATAAGAAGTTTGAGAAGTACTGGAAGAGGTCAAATCTTGCTCTTGCTATGGCATATTTTCTTGACCCTAGGTTTAAGACAAAGGCAGTAGAGTATAAGATGATGAGGTTGTATGGTAAGCAGTCATATCATGTTCATATGGAAAAGTTTACTGCTGTTATTAATCAATTTTATCAAGAATATGCTTCTTTTTATAAGACTGCTATTGCACCAACAACTACTGTCAATGCTGAACCAAAAGAAATTCATACCATAGATGAAGCAGATTCTGATTTCATGAATTATGTCTATGCCTCAAGTGTGGATGGTGGAAGTGATGCAAGTGACTTGATAAATATAAGGCTGAACCATCCCTGTTGGTTCCTAATGGAGATAAATTTGATGTTTTGTCATGGTGGAAAGCTCACAAAGATGTATATCCAGTGCTATCTCTTCTTGCCCGCGATGTCTTGTCCATTCAAGCTTCCACTATTGCTTCAGAATCAGCTTTTAGTGCTGAGGGACGTGTTCTTGATCCATTTCGTACTAAACTTGAACCTGAAATGGTAGAATCACTAGTCTGTACCAAGGATTGGATTGCTGGATGTAGAAGAGGTGATCACTTGTGTCATTTCTCATTTATATTTTTGTAAAAGGTATTCTTGGTTAGTTGGTTTTTTATTAATAGTCTAATATAGCTTTCTTCCAAATTTTTCAGATCCTAATAAAAGGGTTGGATCTATTCTTAATGATCTCGAGGTTGCGGAGACCTTGGTTGCTAATATGACACTTGACGAGATTGATGATATGGTATGACATTTTATTGCATAAATTTTGTTGCAATACATTTTGTAGTCCTATTGTCAAAATAAATGGGGTGAATAGCTAAGATGGTCCTCCAAGTTTTATCTGAGGCTCAGGTTAGTCCCTGATGTTTCAATCTATCCATATTAGTCCTTCAAGTTTTTATTTTAGTTCAAACTTATCAATAACCAACAATTCTCTTGATAAATGACACTTATACCCCCTCATCATTCACATATATAAGAGAAAAATTGCATGCTTGAATTTTTTTTATAGATAATGCATAGTAAATTATATAAAACAAAAATAAATTATGTACTAGTAAGTGTATACGATAGCAATTGCTTAAGTTTCATGTGCACATGTTGAAATAATGGAAAGTACATTTGTAATGTTGT